GAACCACAAGTGTGGAAAATCTGATATCAACAGCCTGCTGGAAGAAAGTGTCACTCAGTAAGTCTGTCAGATTCCTCAATGACACATTTAAATGAAAGCAACAACCTCAAAGTGGCGCTACAGTAAAGATCATTAGTGTCCATCCACTCAACAGTACAAATGTACAAAATAGAAACCAAACTAGGGACAATTGTTGAAAATTAGCAGTAGCTATAAACCTATGTGCGGCACATCAGTTTCATGTCTTGCACTTGAACTATGTTAAACTGCACTGTCCCTTTTAAATAAATAAATTCAAATTCAAACTACTCTGAACCTAAATGGCCACTAGAGTTAACCTCAACTACATGAGCAAAATTGGCCTCAGGGCTCACTTCATTAAAAATATGCAAAGTTACATTTCTAGTTTGGGACATGGTGTTTCCCCGGTAGTATCTCAGATTGTATGTCTGATAGAAAGTAAGCTTACAGTCTACTTCTGTGTTGTTTTTGTCCACAGAAAGAGATCAGAGAGTCCCTGGACAAAATCCTGCAGAATGAGAGCGGCATAGCTCCAAACTGCAGAGAAGAAGATTATGTTAAACTTTATGTGGACACTATCCAGGTAAGAAAAATGCTCTTAAGCAGGAGCGTCAGATGAGTTTTATATCATAGGTCACATACAGGGCACTTCGATCTTAAGTGGGCTGAACCAGTGAGACTCCCCTTTTTGTCAGTCTAATGAAGTTTATGGATTTAGTCCCTGAGTTAGCTGAAAATACAATGTTAACAGTATGTCTCAGTTTTTCTGCACGACAGAGAAATGCTGCTGTAGTAAATGACAGGAATGCTAAAAGTTTTCTGTGAAATTATAGAAAATGTTCTGGTAGATCATTGCAAAGAAAGTTTATTTGAAATTTCTGTTGTAAATAGTAAAAAACTGTTAGTGACCTATCATATTATTTGTCCCTCTTGAAGTGTATTAATGCCGTACCAAGAGAAGCACAAAAACTCCTTCCAGAACTGCACGATGAAGTGCAAGAAATTTGTTTCCGAGAGTTTCGAACATTTGTCAAGAGGTGAGTCTTTATCTTTTCTTCAGAAATAGGTGATTCATCACGTCTGAGATTTTGAGATTTGATGAAATCAGCATGTTTTTTACTGTGTATTCTCTTTGGTTTGTAGGTACAGTGAAGAGCAGTATGGGGATCTTAAAAAAAGGGCACAAACTGACAACCCAGAAACAATACACTTCCTCAAAACACTGAAAACATGTAAGGAACTCAGGTGAGTGGTTTCCGTGTTTCTGTGGCAAAT